AATAGTTAAAATGAAAATGCTCCTTTTGGTAAGGTGGAATAAAGTGCAGCACATTAACCTACTTTCTTTAGATCTTTCAATAGATTGTCAACTTTGATTCTTCATATTACAGTTGAAAATCCATTGAAGTTTAACAGTATAAGGTTAACTTGATACGCTGTCTGTAGTGACTTAAAAGGTGAGACAGTATTAAAGATTAGTCACGAACTTCTTATAAAAGTTTGTAGAGTGGGTCCTAACTTAAAGAAGATGAAACACCTTTCTTAAACTTCTTGCGCTCCGAGGAACGTTATTCAGTTTAAAGTTGTTCCAAAATCTCATACTGTCGTTGACTTTAAGCTATGTTTTAGAGACGTAACTAGTTGGAAGTACACTTTGAGATTCAGTAGCATTTGCATTCTTTGCAGAATTTTCCTATGTTTAAAAACATTTTGGAATTTCCCTACTTACTAATGGAGCATTGTTAATTTAAATACGTAAAATCACGAGTCTCTATGGAGTGCTGTAAAAGCCCAGCTAAGCGATTAATTGAAACATCAAAGATTTCGTCTAATTCAGCTTAATTAGGAAATCGATCCTAAGGGAATTTTGCTTAATTAACTTAAACGCGATAACAAGGTCTTACTTCTACAATACTGTCTAAATAATTTAGTAGACTTATTAAGTATCTATTGAGAGACTTCAAAAGCAGTTTAAATGAGATTTAAACTGTGTATATCTCTTTTCTCTTCAAAGTTCACAGTAAGAGCTTCCTTTTGAGCGCTAACATTTCAACAGTAAATAAGTTTGGAGCAAACTCAAACAGTTGGCAGTCGACCGAGCAGAATTTAGTGGTTTTCATTAAAGTTCACTGTAGCGATCTTTTGAAGAGCAATAATGAGGATTTCAAACTTGGAAAGTCGTTTTAAAAGCCAGTATTTTACGAAACAGGTTTTAATTATGAAAAGAAAATACTTTGTTACTGGCTGATGAAGACCATTAAACGAATTGACGGCATAGAATAAAAGTCTAAAGAGGGTTTGTTTCTTTTGCGTGTCGTAAAGGCCAGCGACTCTGACAAACCTGAACCTTTTTAAACTCATTTTTGCCAAGAATAGAAGCTACTGTAAACCCACATAGTCCAGTCATGGATTGTCAATTGATGATACTGCTGCTAGCTTTTACAGGCTTTTGAATAAACATGCTTTTAATGTAGTCTTTAGTCACACATACTGTTAATCTCTTAGAAACCTAAAAACTGATCATTTTAAATAAAAAAATATATAATTTCCTTTGATACTCACAATCCGGTTCTTCAACGGTCCTATACTCCTGTATGACGACAAAGTCTTGGTTCTGTACTTTCGTAGCGCAGTACATATCTTCAGGGTCGGCTGGCACAATGTCAGCTTGTCGTTGTTGGACAAGGTTTAGGCAGTCAACTCTAAAATTAATTTGGAGTTTGATTAAAAGAAGACTGATTGGGTAATGATCAGAAGCATATTGTTATAAGGACCAAAGGGGTATCAGGTTAAATAGGGGTGATGATGACAGGGTATGAAAATTACCAATCAAGTCTAGCTCTCAGTAAATCTAGTTAGTAGTATTAGTTAGGTAGTAAAAAAATATTAGACACGTAATTTTTTCGTATAAGAAAACAATACTTAAATAAAACGAATGAAAGTTTAGGAGTGGGAGGTAGCTACGTAATTTTATAAATAAATAATATAAACTGTACTCAAAAGTGACGATATGCGATATTTCAAATCAATATATCTTCGAAACAATACGTTTCCGGAAGAAAATAAAACCCGTGTCTAATGTTTTTAAATAATCAGACCAGACAAATAAGGACATTAAAATAAAAATTAATCATCTACCCTATTCTAGGATTGAGATAAGCATTATTGAGGTTTTTTCGAATATACCTTCAGTTTCCACACGATTTCAAACATTATTTTTGACTCCCTTTTGAAATAGGTACTTGTGAAATGCAGATTGACTTATGCATCCCTCGAATTAAAAAAAAAGTTATTAACAGTTAATTGTCATTGTGGATGGTTTACCAAAATAAATAGGAGAAACAATGTTATATGATTTAAAATCTACTAAAGTTAAATAGACTGCCTCATTGGCTCTTACAAGTTACAAGTACAAACTAAGTAACTGTTTGATAAGGAACTCGACTAGTTTCAAGCCATGCTAGAGTCTTATATTCATGAGCAGTATTCCGCGACCCGCGACGCGGTTACTATAGCGCTGCTACTCGAATGCTGTTCATTAATATGAGTAAGCCGGAAACGTAATAATTAATTTAGTATGTTCTAATGTAAACACTTTACTGGACTCGGGAATTGAACCCAGAACCCATTGATTTATGTTTATAGTACAACAACAGTAATGAATTGGATGATTGATAAATTGTTACATGCCTATAGAAATAATTTAATTATTGTATTCAGGTACGAACCTGTCTCTGGCTGGTACACATTCAATCTGGGTCTTGGATTTTGTTGGTGCATTCGCCATCTCCTGACATGATTTTAAGTATTGCGACGGGACGCATATTTTAACTAAAATAATATAAAAAAATATAAATTATTCCTTTATAAGACTTAAATTCAAAATAATTCTGGTGTGCTATCTTAGATTCTAAAAAAAACTAAAACTTTTCGTTTATGGATTACAAGAATAGTGATGTGAAAGAACAATCATTAGAAACCTATTAATTATTCTACATCGAAACTACACACCGAAATCCTAATTTTAAGAAATACTTTATAATATTTTACCATGTAAGTTAGTATATTTGTCCCAATTGTTTATTTTCTTAAATTAATTTGGTGCTAAATTATTCAATGTCAATGACCGCTGTTATTTAATTTTATTTGTATGTATTACGTGATAGAATGACATAATACCTGACGCGTTATTCAATCTTAGACTTAGAAGTCTAATCTTTTAGGAACTAATATAAATTCTGTGATTTTGTAACACCTAAACAATTCAATCGGCAGCATTAATATGTTCATTGAGACAAGTAACTTTAGTCAGTAGGTACCTACATTAACATAAAGTCGTAGAGAAACATAATATAGGTATCGTAAGTTACACCGCTGACAAACTATTCGATCCTAGACGATTTATTGAGACAGTTACTCACAGACATAAATCGAATAGTAATCGATTCACGAAATTCGGTATCGAAATGGAATAAACACATCAAACGAATGGTTTCTACCACAATTTATTGGCCATTATGTGTTGGAATCAGATAGCAAGATAGATTCTGGATGAATGTAAAAATGCAAGTTTTATCTAGTTTACTATACCTAATAGAAACATTCTTAGATTTGTAATTTACGTTATCTATACCTATTAGGTACCTTGTGCCTTCAATCCATTGACACGGTTCAATATTTTATGTTATACAGCTAAAAAGGATACTACCATATTATTAATCTCTGAGTAGGCATCCTAAAATAGGAAGCTACATGTTCCGCAACAAAAATTACGAAACATGAAAATATTAGGTACAGATGATATTTGCAATATGAGACGGGGTCAAATGTCACAGACAACTTGAGGTGGACAGCACATTTACCTACATTGTAAATCGATATAGTCGGAACATAATTTTTTTGCTATCACTATCGCAAAGAAAAACATAATAACAACTCATAACACTAAGTAATAAATCTTATTTTTATACTTAATCGAATGACACAACCTTTGACCACAACACTACAACAACACAAATGAATAATAAAAACACAAAAAAGTTGAATTTCAAATTTCGAACACCAATCCGAATTCCATAAACAAAACACAATGCACTATTAAAAAAAAAACTTTTAAAAATAAAAAGAGAATAGAATACAGAAATAGAACCTACATGATGATTTACTATGCACACAGACACATGTTAGGGCAATCAGATAAATTGGTACTATTCTTAGGTACTTTGCCATGGTCAAGGCGAGCGCGCTATCGCCTTACTACCGCGGGCCGTCCAAGAAACTTCTTTTATATTCACACGTTATCTTATTGTGATTGTTCCATCACACAAGCGAACACAGAGGTGGACGTTGCGTTTACCGGACAAATGAGCTGTGTAGTGAAGTGTACCTAGATTGTATGACTCTGTGCAACGAGTGATGCGTATTGGAAAACAACGCGACACAGATTTGCTTACATGGTTGTAGATCTTGTAGATACAATTTTATGATAGTTTTTATCGAAGTTTTTATGAAGAAAATACTACCTAGATTTAAGATTGATAGCAGTATTCTAGGAAGTATCTAGGTACAAATCAGTACAAAGCACTTCATGTTGCAGTTCAGTAATAAATACCAGGGTATTTACTTAGAAGTATTTCTTAGGTAGGTGTAGGTAACCTACCTATTTAATTTGAAAATATTTTTGTATTATAGTAGGTACTTACCTAGTGTCTGGTATTCGCATTAACCTTTAATGCCTATAGTTTGCACAAGAATTATTGCTTACTTGGGACTATGCTTTGAACAAATAACGTAAAGTAAATGTTACTTCAAACCAGCCAGACGCGACTATTATCTGAAATGTAAATAATAAATACTACTTACTTAATAAAAATAAAATGCAGACACGAGTAAGTAACCAAACTTTTTACCCCACCGACGCACAATAAGTTTTATTCAAATAAATTGAAATGTGTTCGACATTCAAAAATTAAAAAAATATCTTAATTTGCATCCTGGTTAATGTCTTTAAAATTAAAAAATAAATAAAAGACAATTTCGTGTGCCTATATGTAAATAATTATGAAACTTGTGATGTTCTTTTGTCATACACAATGAAAAAGTTAAAAGTTAGAATATTAAAAGAAAAGAAAGAAAGAAAGAAAAGAAAGTATAAAAATTTTTTTTCAAGGTTTTAAAAGCAGAACAATGAATTCCATAGCCTTATAAATCTGGTTGAATTAAAAAATTGAAATGTCACTTTTTATTTTGTTAGTGTGAAAATGAGTGTGATTTTATCTTTGTGATGTGAGGTTGATTATCGTTTGATTAATGATGGATTGGATTCATTGCAATAATTGTTTTGCTCAATTAGAACCTGGCATTACTTTACACTTAACGTCATGTGGTCACATGTTTTGTAACTGTTGTTTAGAAAAAGGTGAGTGTGGAAATGTAACAAAAATAATAAGACTAAAATTTTTGCTATAGGTAACTTGATTCTCTCTGAATAAATTTATTACAGGCGGTAAAGACAGTACATGTTTAATATGCCGAGCGCCGTGTTCCATCATGAAACTCGTTCCGGACGTATGTAATTTCGCAAAATATTGCCTCCGTACCAACTTTACTTACAAATCCTTGGAACGTAATTTTCTCATTAACGATTTAATTTTAAGATGAAACAAGAGATTCAAGATTACTTTACCGATCCGGAGGAACTAATTAAAAAGTCCTGTGAGGTGTTACAGTTTCAGAGGCAACATAGACGGCGGTTGTTATCTTATTTATTACAATCGGTGAGTTGATTATTTTCTTGTTTTGTTTGTCGAAATTTAATCTAAGGAGATGAATTTGTAATTATATTTTGAGCACAGATTATACACAAAATTAAAATACTTAATTCATTAATTCGTCAAATTGGTTAGTAGGTAAGCTACGTAGGTACCGTATTACGAACATAGTAACTTTTAATGATATTTTCGTCAGTTGTGAAAAGTTCCTGTGCTATTTCGTTAGAAAATGTGAGTGAAAAACTGCACCATTAAATTCTGTTTGTGTCAGTTGACAAATTCAGTCTCAAAGAGATTGTCTAATGTTTTCAAACGACACAAACGAGGTTATATTCAAAATTTTCCTTCTTTTTTTCTTTTAAAAAACACCATCATGTTTTGCGTTGCAAAATACACCTAAAGGGAACGTAATTAGAAACTATTTTGTGATGCTGATGCTTGCTCAAAGGGCACTTTGAATACGTAATAGCGAATTTAGCTTTAACGAGTCGGGTAGGAAAAAGTGGAGCATTTTTCATTGTACACTAGTAAAGGGAAACAAAACACGATAAAACTTAGTTAGGTTGTTAAATGTGAGGTAATACATTAAAGGCTTATCGCTAAAGGCTATTAGCTACGTTAGTAAGACCCTAGAGGGTTTAGTCTTAATAGTACCTAATACTTATTAATTTTGTGTTAAAATTTATGTAATATGTCTCATATTACAAATATTAATATTTCATATTATATTATGTACTGCCTCGTTGGCCGAGTGGTCGCAAGTGCGACTGCCAGGCAAGGGGTCTCGGGTTCGATTCCCGGGTCGGGCAAAGTATTACTGGGTTTTTAAAAATTCTTAGTAGTAGCACGGAGTCTGGAAATGTGCCCGGTTTATGGCAATAGGCTCACCCCCTATTACATGGGACTCATAACATAAATAGTAAAAAGGTGGGTGTTACATTATACAGTAGCATAATGTGCACCTCTGCCTACCCCTTCGAGGATAAAAGGCGTGATGTTATGTTACATTAATGACTCATATTACATATGTCTCGTATTACATCAATTTTGTTGTACGGCTGACTCACGTTCACGATTGATTACGGGCCCTCGAAGTTGCTTGAAAGTGGTCGAGTTTCCTCGTTGAACTTCCGTAAACTTACGACATGACGTTTTTATGCCTCCTTTTCGACCATTACATTATGACTTTATTTATTTCAGACGAAAAAGTTTCAAACAGCCCGTACTGAGTTGAAACGTATGACGGAACTGTGCCAAAAGCAACATAACCAGCTGAAGGAGTACCAGAGAACCATAAGGAGTTTAGAAGCTCAACTGGCGAGCCAATCGAGTAATATTGTTCTTATTATTTTAAACATTATATTATTATTTCAGTGAAAAGAATTAAAATGTAACTCTATTACCATCTATCTACGGTGGTGACTGGGCAACTGGCTGCCACGCAACGTGTTGCGGGTTCGATTCCCGCACGGAACCACTCTTTGTGTGATCCACAGATTGATGTTCCAGGTAAGGGTGTCATGTGTATGTGAACTATGTTTGTAAACGCACCCACGACACATGAGAAAATAGTAGTGTGGGGCAACGTATTTTTATTAACTCCATCTCAAACGCAGGGATTGTAGTACTGTGCAAAGAGTATTTTGTTTTGTTTTAATATCCACGTTTTTGGTTCTAGCAATCTTTTTGAATACCTAGTAATATACACATTTTATGTTAAAAAGTATCGTTCTTCCAATAAAATAAGTAACTTTTGAAAGCAAATATGACTCAAATTAAATTCGCATTATGTATGTATGTAATGTACCTATATATTATTAAGTAGTAGTAGTAGTAGTAGTAGTACGATATTAAGTAACTTTTAAAATACTTTAAACAAAGCATTTCACGTTACAACTCAATTATAACCAAACTATTCTGAATTTAAACACATTTTCAGAGCAAATATCGCCGTTCAACATCCCCATATCGCCAGGGACCAATATATCCCCAAGCTTCGTGCAAACCACGCCGACTTATAAGCGAAATGCGAAAAGTACGCCGTTCTCGGTGAGTGCCATGCCATCCATATTTATTTTATGTAAAGTAGAGGTCTCTATGGACAGAATTCCACTGCAATTTATTAATTAGTTTGTGAATGTGAATAGTAATATGACTAATTGAGTTGGAGTACAAACTCCTTAGTTAGTTTACTGTTTACCCTTGTACGAATGAGTAATGCTATGTTATGTCTCTATGCAACTACAAAGAGACTGTAAAAAATAGGATAGACATTTTTCACAGGAACGAATGAAGCTTCGACAGCAATAGGTAAACTCAACCAGATTGATATTACCGTCTATAGAAAGAAAACCACCGAGACACAAAGCTTTTTTATGGAATAGGAGGCAAACGAGCAGACGGATCACCTGATGGTAAGCGATCAGCGCCGTCCATGGACACTCGCACCACCAGAGAAATCACAGGTGTGTTTCCGGCCTTTTAAAAAGGAGTACGCTCTTTTCTTGAAGGTTTGAAGGTCGTATCGGTTCGGAAATACCGCCGACGACAGATCATTCCACAGTTTTGCTGTGCGAGGCAGAAACTTACGTGAGAACCGCACAGTTGTGGCCTGCCAACCATCTATATAATGGGGATGCATATACTGTTGTGAGGGTCGATGGCGAAAAGATGCGGGCGGTATCAGGTCAAACAATTCCTCAGCTTGCGTTGTGATTTACCATATGAACCAGTAACTACACGTTACTTGAGGAACAAGATCTCAAAAGGCCAGCTATGCACTTGTTTTGGTGCTGTGTCCATGGATGACGCCGGTTCGGCTTGTCCGTTTCCTATCTTATAAAAAATAATGGAGAAATAGAGTGCTTCCCTTTGAAAAAAGAGAGCGAAACTTGTTAAATGTAATCGTCTAGACTAGAATAAATAGCGTAAAATATTCTTCAACTAATATACAATAAGTACAGTAGAGTATGTAGCAATGTAGAGTAGGCTGCGCGACATCGCCGCGACCGCGCACGCTGCTCATGAGGAAGAACCCCTCTGTGGTTCGAAACTAGAAGAGCTTTTCTCAGTATATTCACGTGAGTAACCCGCGATTTTTAGTTTATTTAGTATGTCTCACGATAGTTATTATAAAACAGTACAGTCCCATGTTGTTTTGTTTATTAACTATAGTGTTTTGGTTAAATATAGGTATTTTCCCGGTGTTATCGCTTAACAAGAATTTAGTTGTGATATCGATGCTATGTATTAATAATGTAAATAAGGAAAATAATTAATTTGTCAATATTTAGACGTTTCTTTAATTAAGTTCTAACTTTGATTTCAAATATAACATAACATATCTTCACGCCTTTTATCCCCGAAGGCGTAGCAGAGTTGCACATTACGGCACTTAATGCCACTGTACAATGTAACACCCACTTTGCACTATTTATATTATGAGTAGTATAGTAATAGGGGTGAGTCTATTGCCATATACCGAATTCCAGGCTCCGTGGTACTACTGAGATTTTTGAAAAAACCCAGTAAATACTTTGCCCGTCCGAATCGAACCCGAGACCCCTTGCCCGGCAGTCGCACTTGCGACCACTCGGTCAACGAGGCAGTCAAAATTTCAAATATACTTAATAATATTATCAAATGTTTCCAACCTAGCTATTTTTATCAGGCATATTTTTGCCAACATCCGTTTCATATCAGACATATCTTCTCTCTAATGTAAAACTTTCTTAAAATTGTATTGATATGAATTATGTCCACAAAATAACTTAAGATAACTATTGAAATTACTTTTGTCTTTTCTCGGGTCATCATACCTACTATTTTTAAGATACTGTCGCTTAATTAAGATATTTTTGTACCTATGTAATGTTGGCCACTGTTATCTATCTATATATAAAAATGAAACCCGTTTCCCGTTGTCACGCCATAACTTGAGAACGTCAAGACCGATTTGGCTGATTTTTTTTGTTGTGTTTGTTATTGTCAGGAGAAGGTTCTTATGATAGAAAAAAAATCCCGAAAATCTTAGGGGAACGGGAGAAAACGGGATTGCGCGTACAAAGTCGTGAGTAGAAGCTAGTTATGAATATCTAAAGATTTATTTATTTATTTAACTCGTCGAGTACCGGTTTTGTAGACACAATTATAGAACAATAGGTTGCGGTCACCGGTGACCGCTTGGTGTTTGACAGTTTAAACTAGTTTTAACCAGATTTTTGTTGTCAATGGTTCATTAACTGATACGTTAATATTATACTTGGATGAAATTGGAGTCTAGTTCATTCGTTAGTTTAAGATGAAGGCAACTGAGTCGCATTTAGCATACTTGTACTAAGTACTTCCAGAAGCCTACACAGATTCTTTATATCTAGTTAACTGAAAGTGGTAATCACAGATGAATTCTGTACAAAAGTTTAAATTAAGTATATTTTTAAGATAATGATTATCGCATTATCTATCTCGAACTTCTTCTTTAATTTCGAGCGAAATCGCAGTCAACAACTACTAAGCTAATGTAACATATATAACTTAAACAGAATAGTATGGGAGTACCCTACACCCAGTAAATAGGGTAATCCCTTAGCCCGTTGTGGTAAAGATAACGATAAACTTTTGACCCCCAGGTCCAGTATCAGTCCAACCTGGTGACCCCGACGCGGATAAGCAAGCAGAGGTCGGCCAACATCAGCGCGCATAGTCAGGTATGTTTATACATAGTACTTACTTTTATGTTATAAATAGTTTGTAA